GGGTGATCTCACGGAGGACCGTGGGAAGGAGATAGGTTATGCCGCCTAGAAGCGTTTGCTCCCAGGCCCGATGGCGCGCGGGGGAAGTCCCGCAATTGGGCCTTAGCTGTTTGAATGTACTATAACCTGTCATGCTCGTTGCATCCCCCCTCATTCCTAACAGTGATCCTGTACATGCACCTATAGCTTCAAATAAAGTAAAACCTTTCTGCAAGAGTGTACTTCATTGATGCTGTGGGGGAGCTTGACATTACCGTTCTCCCCTAGATGTGACGTTATCATGCTTGTGACCTGCCCCCCCCCCATCTCCCGGTTGAAACTCTCCTGCTGGTTGCTGCGTCCGTAAACCCGGCTCCTCCCGAACGCACTGCCTTTGCCTTGCCTTGCCTTGCCACATAATAGAGCTTACCCTGAGAGATTGAGATGAGAAGCAAGGTGGAAGCTACACAGTCAGGCTGCCAACAGTGCCTCAGCAAACGGTGGGAGATTTTGAGGGCCTTGGGGAGAGGGGAGCTCACTCCTTTACAGCGCTCTGGGCTGGATTTCCCCTCTAGACTAGAAAAAGGTGGGGAAATCCTTAGAGTGCCATTTTCCACTCTTGCTCCTACTTTTCTCAAGGGTGGGGGATTGGAACCAGGGGCAGGCTTTACCTGCTGCGGGTGGACAGATGGCGGGCCTACACCTCATGCCTCGTGGAGGTGAAGCGGCCTGCTTCCTGCTTCTGCCATCGTTCAGTTGTGTGACTGAAGGACTTGCGTTTTCGTTCTGGTTCAGGCCCGCATGGGGATTTCGCTGACCACTTTAGCACTGTTCCAGTTTCTACCAAAGCAAGACATTGTGGTGTTTAATTTTCATATGTGGTAGGGTCGTTAATATCACTGTGTAGCTGCACCCAGGTCTTGATGCTAGGTGGCCAGATTCTTGACAGGCACGGCATCTTTCAAAGGAAAATGGTCATGGGCAAGGCTCCCTCTCAGCTGCGGAGTCTCGTGAGCAAAAATTCCACTTTGTGAGCTCCTGGCATTAAAAGTTGTGAGCAAGCGATTTGGCTGCTGCATAAATTAGTTTGCTCTGGAGCAATGTTCCCTCTAAGCTGTGGAGTCTTGTGAGCAAAAATTCTACTTTGTGAGCTGCTGGCATTAAAAGTGTGAGCGAGCGATTTGGCAACCGTATAAATTACTTTGCGCTGGAGCTGTTCTTCCTGAGCTAAGACAAAAATGTGTGAGCCGGAGGCTACGAAACTGTGAGCTAGCTCACACTAACTCAACTTAGAGGGAACACTGCTCTGGAACAATCCTCCCTGAGCTGAGGCAAAAATGTCTGAACCAGAGGCTCAAGAACCGTGAGCTAGCTCACACTAACTCTGCTTAGAGGGAACACTGGTCATGGGCAAGGCATCTTTCAAGGAAATTTACTTGTAATTATTCCTTCTGGTTGAAGATCCTCTGACATAAACTTCAGGATTTCCTAGTACATAGCTTGAGAAAGTAAATCACTGTTCTGATGGAAGCTCAACAGCAACAGATAGGCAACAGCCCATCTCTGTGTGTGTGTGTGTGTGTGGGTAAATATTACAAATATTGCCAGGCACTGCCTGCCTGTGTGAGAGTCATCTCTGGCTCTCATTTACAACAGGATCTGCCAGTTTGGTGTCGTGGTTAAGTGCGCAGACTCTAATCTGGGAGAGCCGGGTTTGTTTCCCCACTCCTGTTTGGTGTAATGGAGAGCCAGTTTGGTGTAATGGTTAAGTGTGCGGACTCTAATCTGGGAGAACTGGGTTTGATTCCCCACTCCTCCACTTGCACCTGCTGATGTGACCTTGGGTCAGTCACAAGCTCTGGCACAGCTGTCCTTGAAAAAGAGCAGTTTCTGTCAAGAGCTCCGTGTGCGTACTCTAATCTGGGAGAACCGAGTTTGATTCCCCACTCCTCCACTTGCACCTGCTGATGTGACCTTGGGGCAGTCACAAGTTCTGGGACAGCTGTCCTTGGAAAAGAGCAGTTTGTGTCAGAGTTCTCTCAGCCCCACCCACCTCACAGGGTGTCTGTTGTGGGGAGGGGAAGGGAAAGGAGTTTGTAAGCCACTCTGAGACTCCAAGTGAAGGGCGGGGTATAAATCCAATCTCTTCTTCTTCTTCCTCCACTTGCACCTGGCTGGATGACCTTGGGCAAGCCATAGTTCTGATAAGAGCTGTTCTTGAAAAAAGAGCA